ACACTCTCACACACACACTCTCACACACAACACTCTCACACACACACTCTCACACACAACACTCTCACACACAACACTCTCACACACACACTCTCACACACAACACTCTCACACATACACTCTCACACACACACACACACACACACTCTCACACATACACTCTAGCATGGGCCAGTTGAGTCAAATATTCCCGTTCCCTGCTGAGCGGACGGAGAATGTGCGGAAAGCGCGGAAGTGCACAGAAAGCCGTGACCCCGCTTGTCGTTTCTCTCCCTCCGTCCAGGGTGACGATCCCAAGAAAGTGGCAGAAAAGATTGGGAACAAGAACGGCCTGGAACCACTGATGAAAGAGGCCCTGAGGCTGCGGATCAAGGAGGAAATTGAGAAGAGGATCTCCAAGCGTTGAGCATCACCGCTACCGCCAGTAACAACAGCAGCAGCTACATTGGGGGGCGGTCGGGTTTTGTCTTGTCCCTTTATGTCTTTGTGTTGTTTAAGTTTTCCCAGCTCCACAGTGAGGGGCCGAAAGAGTCGAAGGTTGGGGGGTGGGGTTTGGGGGTTGGCGAAGGGGCAATTTGATCGAAAATGAGGACCCCAGAAGTAAGGGTGCGGCGCATTCCCAAAGTTGGACAGCACACATCATCGAATGAGCTGCTAAAGACCGCGGGAGCGAACGGCTGGCTCCACAACTTGCAGTGTTAAACACGAGGAACTAGGTGATGCAGCATTATGCGCAAGATCGATGAACGATGAGCAAGTTTCATTTGTTGGTGACCTCAGCCAGCGCCAGAATTCCCGAGCCAGGCGCCCATTTGGCAAGGAGAGCACTGGAAGCATTTCTATGTTCGGCCCGTTGTGCATGGCATTGGGATGCAAGGGATCTTAAGTGATCTTAAGTCCCGATTCGCCTCTCTTCGGTTGCTGGCTGCAAGCAGACATGAAGCAAGCAGGCCCTGACTTTGAGTAATGTGTACAATCCGTACAGAGTGAGCATTGTACATCAATGCAAGGGGGACGGTAGTTGGCGGCCCTGGGGGTTCTTGCGGGGGAGGGCAGGGCTGGGGATCTTTTTGATTTGGGGGTGAGGGTTGATGGGGAGGATGCATTTGGAAAGGTGTAAAATGTCCCCGCGTGAATTTCATGCACAATTTGCGTGAGGCAAGTTGCAGAGCTCCAGGCACTTGCACTCAACAGCGCAGAGGTTGCATTTATCAGGCCAGGGTGTGAGCTGTTTAGCCAACCCAACCCTGCAGTAGGACATGGAAAATTCACGGGGAGTGGGGCACCGTTGGGCAAAAGAAATTCAACCGTGGGTCCTCCTCCTGTTGCCCCCCACAAGCTGCCAGAATGCATGTGTGTCTGTGTGTCTGTGTCTGTGTCTGTGTGTGTGTGTGTGTGTGTGTCTGTCTGTGTGTGTGTGTGTGAGTGTGTCTGTCTGTGTGTGTGTGTGTGTGTGTGTGTGTGAGTGTGTCTGTCTGTGTGTGAGTGTGAGTGTCTGTGTCTGTCTGTGTGTGTGTGTGTGTGTGTGTGTGTGTGTGTGAGAGAGTGTGTGTGTGTGACTCTGTGTGTGTGTGTGTGTGTGTGAGAGAGTGTGTGTCTGTGTTTGTCTGTGTGTGAGTGTGTGTGTCTGTGTCCATGTGCGTGTGTGAGTGTGTATGTGCATGTGCATGTGTGTGTGTGACTCTGAGTGTGCGAGCGTTTCAATATTACAGCAGCAACAGCTCGGACCCCACCTCCCGGGTTCAGTGTTACAGCAGATGGACTATGAAGCCCCATACACCCATAAGACATCCAGCATCTTTAGTCCTCCCGCCCAGAACGGGAAACGCAGTGTTATCAAACTTCTTATTTTCAGTTTCGGGGAGGGATGAGATACTCCTCAGTGACAGTCACACAAATCCCTTTGTCAGTCGTGGGAATGCAAGCTATTTCCTGTCAAACCTTCCGACTTGGTTGAGAATTTTTTTTTGTTTCCAGAGCGTGTCGTTAAAGGTGTTTTGATTTGGTTACAGTAGGTTTGCACCCTGCCTGTGTATATAAAACTGTTCTGACGTGAGTTTGTGTCCACCCCTACTCTGCCATGTGTCAAATAAACTTTGTACGTTTTTAAAAGGGTCTGAGTGGTGTGCCTATCTGTTAGCACTGTGTTAGGTCCAGATATTCCATCCAACACACACTAAACCCTCATTCTGTTGCAATTCATCTCCTGGAGCTGAAGAACCCTCTGAACTCATCTAATTCTGGCCTTGCGTGCACCCCCGATTTTATATGCTCCTCATTCAAAGCCCTGCTGTTGTATGCATGAAGTTTTTGGAATTCCCTCGCTCTAACTCGCTGCACTCCTTATAACCTGCCTCAGGAGCTCCTCACTGAGATCTCGAGTGTTTTAATCCCAAGCTCGATGTCACAAGAATTATAAATTGGATTTACATCATTTTATTAACTCCTGCACAGCAGAATTATGCTTTCTGTCGTTTATTTAAATGATTTGGATGTGAACACAGGAAGTATGGTTACTAAGTTTGCAGACGACACCGAAATTGGAGGTTGTAGTGGGCAGTGAAGAAGGTTACCTCAGAGTACAATGGGACCTCGATCAGATGGGCCAATGGGCCGAGGAACGGCAGATGGAGTTTAATTTATATAAATGTGAGATGCTGCATTTTGGGAAAGGCACATCAGGGCAGGACTTATACACTTAATGGTAAGGTCCTGGGGAGTGTTGGTGAACAAAGAGACCTTGAGGTGCAGGTACATAGTTCCTTGAAAGTGGAGTTGCAGGTAGACAGGGCGGTGAAGAAGGTGTTTGGTACACTTGCCTTTATTGGTCAGTGCATTGAGAATAGGAGTTGGGAGGGTCATGTTGCGGCTGTACAGGACATTGGTTAGGGCCCCTTTTGGAATGTTGTGTGCAGTTCTGGTCTCCCTGCTATAGGAAGGATGTTGTGAAGCCTGAAAGGGTTCAGAAAAGATTTACAAGGATGTTGCCAGGGTTGGAGGGTTTGAGCTACAGGGAGAGACTGAATAGGCTGGGACTATTTTCCCTGGAGAGTCAGAGGCTGAGGATGTGACCTTTATAGAGGTTTATAAAATCATGAGGGGCATGGACAGGGTGAATAGCCAAGGTCCTTTCCCCAGGGTAGGGGAGCCCAAAACTAGAGGGGCATGGGTTTAAGGTGACAGGGAGAAAGATTTTAAAGGGAGCTAAGGGGCACCTTTTTCATGCAGAGGGTGGTGCGTGTATGGAACGAGCTGCCAGAGGAAGTGGTGGAGGCTGGTACAATGACAACATTTAAAAGGCATCTGGATGGGCACATGAATAGGAAGAGTTTAGAGGGATATGGGCCAAATGCTGCCAGATGGGACTGGATTAGTTTAGGATATCTGGTCAGCGCAGAGGAGATGGACCAAAGGGTCTTTTCCGTGCCTTACGCCTCTATGACTATTAGGCAAAAATTGACCCCGAGGCCTGGTAAAGAGATATAGGTCTCAGTCAAAGAGGAAAGTTGTAAGGAGTACAGCGAGTTAGAGCGAGGGAATTCCAAAAACTTAATGCATACAACAGCAGGGCTTTGAATGAGGAGCGTATAACATCAGGGGTGCACGCAAGGCCAGAATTAGATGAGTCTGGAGGGCTTTTCAGCTCCAGGAGATTCAAGAGATAAAGGGGGGAGAGGCATGGGGAGGTGTGAAAATAAGGACGAGAGTTTTAAAATTAAAGTATAACTTAACTGGTCAGCATAGGGAGCTAACAGGGAGGTTATGTTGTAGCTGTATAAGGTGCTGGTGAGGCCACACCTCCAGTACTGTATACAGTTTTGGTCTCCTTCCTTGAGAAAGGACGTACTGGCACTGGAAGGGGTGGAGAGGAGGGTTGCTAGGTCGATTGCAGAGTTGAAAGGGTTGGCTTATGGGGAGAGATTGAGTCGTCTGGGACTGTACTCATTAGAATTTAGAAGAATGACAGGGGGGATCTTACAGAAACATATAAAATGATGAAGGGACTAGATAAGATAGAAGCAGGCAGGTTGTTCCCACTGGCGGGTGAAACTGGAACGAAGGGGCATAGCCTCAAAATAAGGAGGGGGAGCAGATTTAGGACTGAGCTGAGGAGGAACGTCTT